CAGGGGGACCGTAGTTCAACAGGTTTACAGATTTCTTTTTCACTAACAAAGGTTCATTCCCCCCCCAACCCTGCAACTGTTTTTGCGTCATAAAAATCTGATAAAATTTATTCTAATCCTCTGTTTTCTGGACAGATGATATCATGTTCAATCATGCGTTGGAAGACCATTTTCAATGGCTAACTGTAGTTCTCTAGATCAGCAAGTCCGACTTGCTTTACTTGGAAACAAAAGCACCAGACTATCTCTAACTTGGCCCTCGTCCTGCAAAAAAAATTTGTAGCAAGACTCAGGCAGTCTGTTCGGGGAGCAGGACTGGCCCTGAAGCAACCGGCTACATTAACTTCTGGAATGAGCATGTGCAATGCTCTCATTCCAACTTGAGAAAGAGCTGAACAGTATTCAATTTAAGGAAATTGTAGAAATGACATTTGTTCTGTTAAAAAGAAAACAGGGAAAACTTAAACAATCCACAGGTATGCATTAAGCATTTAATAGCAAGCCTTTGCTTATGTATATTAATTTAAAGATTATCCACAGGGATCTGTGATACATTGGCCCTGCCTTGTTACTATAATTAAATTTATTCAAATATTAATTTAAAATAGGAAAACAAAGAAACTACTCCTTGGGGAACATGTTTATTGTGTTTGAGATGATACACTGGGTGCTCTCTGAGCTACAAAGGGAAAAAGGAAATCCTTTCATTACAAACTGACAAAGGTAAAAGTTAAAACAGTTTTCACAACAGCATGTACCACATATTGGAAATAGATCTGGGTTTAATACAAATGACATAATTCCTAGTAATCTACAGCTACCTTTAATAACTTCATACAGATAATGAATTAGGCTAAAATGCACTATAATATTTGGTTGACTTCAGGAACAGTATCCTTAGTACATCACAAAATACATTTTGATATCCCAAAGAAGCAAGACTTGCAAGTAGGCATTTTAAACATAACTAATCTACAGCTACAAATTTCTACTCTTGATAGCATTTACCTTTTTGGGGGGCAGTATCCCAGTCTTCAAAAGGATAAAAGCAGAGTAGAATCAGTATAACATATACACAGAAGTCCGTATTGTAAAGGCTATAAAGATTTGTTGCACACTGCAAAGTTGCCTTCTGCACCTTCACACTGTACAAGTAGTTTGTCATTTATGTTGCGTATCTCTTGGTCCACTGTCTGGCTATCCTGTCATGTTCTGCTCTGTTGGTCAGGTACTGAGTGGCTATGCTTCCAACCAGAGGGTCAGCTGCAAAAGGCAGGAGAAGATGCATTAGAGACCATTCCATAATTAAAATAACAAAAAACCCCCAAAAATCAAAACACAACAAAACAATAAACACATGATTTAAAATACAGAATCTATTCCAAAACATAGTCTTTGTCAGGCCAGAAAACGCTGTGAGGTACAGTGGGTGTCTTATCGTACAAGACATTTCCAAGAGAAAGCACACAAGGCACGATGAACAGAAAAAGAAAATAGAAAAATCTGTTGTGGTTATCTGCATATTAATGAATCTTGCCCCATCCTGGTGCCCGGCTTTCACCCCTTTGGAAGGGCCACCTCAGCGGGCGCAGTCCGGCGCGCTCCTGTCACGGTGCTGGACAAGACTGGTGTACATTAGGGTATCAGGACTGTAGGGGACACACCGATGGGATCCAGTTTGCTTCAGGAGTCATCAAACTTTTGTATCAAAGAGGTTAATCCCTTTCTCCCTGATCATTATCGGTCTTCTGAAAATGAACTGTTAGCACGACCGCTCGGTTCCTGCCCTGACCGCAGGCAATTGGCGTTCATTGCCTAATGACACTGGTGACACAGTCGTTGCTGAGAAACTACTGCCTCCAGTGGCGTTCCTCCCCTCCCAACAGGAACAGGAACTCTCTTTGAAAAAGAGAAAAATCCCTCTGAATGTCATCCCTCACAGTTGCAAGATTAAACGTTTCAATTGCTGTCTTAAGAGAAGGGACTTCCTGCGGCCCCTTCCGGCCTGCAGGATTTATTAGTTTATAACTCGAGAGAACTTTGTTGCTTTCCTGGATCGACCACGCATTTGCTGGAGCTCCTGCAATACAGACCTTCAATGACATCAGCTTATTTCCTCCACCACACCTTGGGGAAAAAAGGGCTTAATGCTATTTACTTTCTGCTGTGCCACAGGAGTGAAAAGCGCCATTAAACGCGGGACTGCATCCAAGCAGGAGTGTTTCATCCCCAATTTTAAAAATACTACTTTTTATTTAATCTGCATACAATCAGATATACAAGTTACATTCCACAGCAACTAAGTCAAACAACGAAGAGTGGATGCTCAGTAAGCTATCAGCTCCTTACCTGGGTTGCAGTCTGTCAGAAGAGAACAAATAGACAGCAGAACCTTTGAAATAGTCAAAGCAGGGCTCCAGTTGTCTTTCAGGATATCCAGACAGATAACTCCCTGACTGTTGATGTTGCAGTGATAAATTCTGGTACGGAAAGTAACCTAGAATCACAGTGTAAGAGAGAGAGAGAGTCATTCGGTGTTGCCCAGGGATGCTGCCCCTTCTCTCCGAGCAGCGGCAGCGCCTGGGGCACTCCCAGTTCTGCAGAGCTTCTGCGGAGGCAGCTCCTCTCTGCTCGTTTTCTAAAACACAATTATTTACCAGAAGAGTGCGTAGTTACTGTAGTCATGGCTTCTTTTAAGAAACCTACCATGGGGATCTTTGGTCCATAAACTGCTTTCACACAGGCCCTCTCTCTGGTACCCACAAAAATTAGGACTTTGTAGTACTGCACACTATTTAATGAACTTATTGCACGTCAAGAACGATCTAATCACAAATGTAACTTTCCTGTGGTTTCTGAAGGTGAAGAAGTAGATGGAGTTTGGCTGCATGTGCAGTATTAGTTGATATTTTCCTTTCTTTCAAAGAAAGCTTAAATATAGACAATGAAAATTATTATTTAATATTGCAGTATTGTATTATTCTTGTTCAAATTAGCAATGAAATCTTTGCCTTACCCTTCATTAGGCAGGACATACTGTACAGCCAAAACAATGCTATCACACTAACTAACACTATCCTTGTTTCTAAATTATTTCAGACTAATATCAGTAGAGCATGTAAGCATTATTCTGCACAAAGAAGTAGTTAGAAATTTAAGTGCTTTAATTCAATAAAGCACAAGAAGATGAATAAAATATTTTTTTTCATACTGATGCAGGAGGGAAAAATCCATGATGTTTTCTGAAACTACTGAAAATTAAAAAATGATCATGCTCTAAAAAAAAAATCTACAAGATTTTCATGAAGAATTTGTCTAAAACTCTGCATCACTTCATTGTAACAGTATTAACTGAGAGAATATTAAATTTTGTGGGTTTCAGAGAAGTGTGAAATACATAGAGGGTATATTATTCTTTATGCTGTAATCTTCCTGGGGATGAAAAAAGGTATTTGATTTATAATAAGAACGTTACAGCCACAAGAGCAATACGTTGCAGAAATGTGTGGTAGAATGTAAGAATGTATTTAGTCTTTGCGAATGTCAGCAGTGTCCTTTCTGGTGACTCTGTCAAGAGTTGTAAATTGGCGTTAAGGGAGGGGAGAAGGGAACAACCTTTAACTTCTTTGATATGCGTTAGTAAATTATAATTTCTTAAGTGTCCATACTATTTCTGAGCAAGGAAATGAAATTCTAGCTTAAGGTAAAATTAGTTTTATTTAATAAATAGAGCTTTTGCTTAAAAGTATTATCAAACAAGGTTGCTGATCTTAACAGTAGTAAATAGATTGACATTTTACAGTAATGGAAATCATCACAGTAATTTACCCGATTTGAAGTCACAATATAACACTCTAGTTTTCTATCTAAATTTTTTTTAGCTTTCTGTTATATTGCTAAAAATTACATGAAAATATATAATACAGAATCTGGTTTATAACAGAAAAAGTTTATTATACATGCATTTTAGTAGCTGGAATGAGAAAAAGAAAACTTAAGAAGGTCCTGTGCTGTCTTGTATTAAAATTAAAATTTCTTGAGTCTTAACTCCTGATCAGAATTCTATCTCATTTATCACTTGGTAAAGCTTGGAAATTGCTATTGACTGTGGTAATTGGGAAATAAATTAGACACAGAATTTTTCCAAAACTGCAAGCCAAGATTTTGGACTGTGTAGTTTTTGAGAGACCATAAACAAGTCTGATATTCAGAAAGTGATGAACATGCACTCGCTGCAAGTTACATTCTTCTCACATGTGAAAAAAAGATAGACACAATAAAAACCCCTTACCCTTACCTTTGGTGGCTTGAATGGATAGTCAGATGAAAATGTGATATCCAGGAAAAAAACGCCTCCTTCATATACAGAACCTGGAGGTCCAAGTATAGTAGATCTCCATTCATAAATGTTATCTCCTTTAGGACCGGCACTGTGCAAAAAAAGAGGAGAGAGAAAGAGAGAGTCAGGTGTACCCTTGAGAGAGGCATTTTATGGATTTCCTTCTTCATTCATGTTGTTTAATACAAACCACTTGCCTATCTTTAACATCTGCCTAATTTCCAACTGACTTCAGTGGGCTCAGTGTTTTAAACAAGCATGAAAGCTGGGCACTCCGCTGTCCCTTCAGCGATACAGCGATGAAACAGATTGGCCATGAACTACTGGACTGTCACTGTCTGAAACATATCCCCAGATCTGCGTTCTTGAGTTTGTGGTTGCTCTGAGCTTCTACATCATGCCTTTCCAATGACATCATACCATACACAAAAGGAGTTGTATATCTTGACCATGTTCATCTTCTCCAGGCATTAAATGGATCATACCTTCACAAAAAATGTGACTTACATGTACATTGATGCACATTTATTGCCATTTGTTTCACAGGCTAGAGTGAAATGTTACCCCCTTGGGCAGGAAAACTGGGGATGGGAGAGACAGAATCAAGTAACTTGGAACTGAGCTTCTTACAGCACTGTCAATCCAAATCAGTCTTCTTCAGGATATGTTTGTGCTATGCCTCCAGGCAATAGGCATTGAGATTACTATCCAAAAATAGTTTATTTTAAGAAGTACAATACTGAACGCATTTCTCACTAGGGGAACAGTTATTGCATAATTAATTATTAAAGTAAAGCTTTGAAAGAAGGTATAATGAACAAGTATTTTCTTGACTTCTGAGACATCATACTTAATGCTATTATCATACAATAACCATCTAACATCTTCACACACACACCACACACACACACACACAAAAAAATCAAAGTACAATCTTATTTCTGTAAGCAAGTTGCACGGTAAAAACTAATGTTCCGCAAAAGGTCCTGAATCTTAACCACTGAGATCCAAACTGAGTGCTACGGAAAACACCACCACTGAGCTCACGCAGGCACGTGGATTCATCACATCTATGCAGACAAGTCAATAACGTGACACTGTAAAAGATGCTCTCAACTCTCCCCACCTTGGCAGCCTCTCAGGCACCACCCACATCTTGCAGACACATGGTGAAGCGTCCTCATCCTTCTCCCTCTGTGGTCCCAAGGAGCAGGCACTGAGGACTGTCATATGCGATTGCCCATGAAGCAAGAGACAGGGCATGGCACCAAGCTGTAGCCTGGGAGTTTGTGGTTTCTGGCATTGCTCGACACTCAGAGGAGCCTCCCTTACAAGCCCTCCAAGTGTTAAGGCTCTTCCCATGTCACGACACCTCATGTATTTGCCATACGTATGTCCTCAGTCTATAACACGGCATGTTGGACATTCATCCTTATTATGTAGCCAAACATGCGGAGACGCTCATCAGAGACGAGGACTACGAGCAGTCTGCACTGTGCATCTGCAATTCCCACACCAAAAATTTAGCTATTTTTGCATTAAAATCATATTCGAGAAACAACCAAAAGCTGATTTTGATTATGAATTCCCTTTCAATTTATAATTTCCCAACATGTTTTTTATCTTGCGGATGTTTCATGTACCAAATGTTTAAACTGTTGCAGGCCTTTCATTAGCAGGACAAAATAATCATGGATTTTGGCTGACATCCTATTTAATTAAAAACAAAAAATTACTTGATGGAGCTGTAGCTATTTTTCTGTTGCCAAAATGAAAGCAGCTAACAACAGCATGCTGGCCTCCAGAGCACAGCTAAGAAAGAAAAACTAGAAGTGCTGTCAAAATAAAGTTTGGGTCTAAAACCACTGATCTTACCTTTCTATTTGAAATGCATGCACAAAAGTGTAAGAAATTTTAGGAAAAAAAGGGAAACCCAGAGGCAAGGAGGTCCATTTTCGATGATGTAATGAACCGTTCATACCCTCAGTCACTCCAGAAGGTAATTCCATTCATGCTCTCTAAAAAGCAATTAGTGTAAGAACTGAAAATATTGGGGCAATAATGACAATATTTAAAACCCACATAGGCCACTGAAATGCTTTAATTAATTCTTGACATTCATCAAGCTTACAGCTAATTAGTATTGTGCTTGGAAACCAAATTTCTATGGAGCAATTCAATTTCAGCATTAGATGTCCTAATGACTGTTTTATAGTTTAATGCAGAGGTTAGTGCTCATGTCCTACACCTCTAACAGCTGGATGCAATTCAATCAGATTAATGAAATAGCTGAATTAAATTAGTGACATATTTCAGCCCAATGAATCAGTCACAATTAAGTGCGGCACCAGTCCGGTGCCAAACTATCTGTTAATCACTCACCAAGTCAGAGCAAGGGCATCTATCAGCCAGTAGCCAGAAGCTGAGTGCAATAACCTCTCTGCCTATTACTGTCTGCTCTCCTCTTCTATGCTACCGCTAGCAATATCTAAAAAGGTTGGGCTATAACGTGAGAAGGCAAATTCCTAACCTTGTCAGAGGAAGAAAACGCTGTGTTGGAAACTCCTCCTACTGCTGAGAAAAGATTGCTGCAATGACAAAAGTAGCACAAAGCCGTAACAATAACCACTCTCAGATAAGGGAGAAAATTGTTAAATCGAACAATTTCATTACATCTGATGAGGTTTGTGAAACTTCTATTTAACTGCTGAAGTGGTGTCTCACTTCCAGTGCTGTAAAAGATAGCCCTGCTTCATTAGCAACCTGAAAATCCCCAGTTACTACGTTACTGGTGTGAGGAGACACAAGATTAAAGAGCAGAGACAAGACATCACTCTTGGCTTCTACCACCTGTGTATTTCCACTGGGGATCATCCTCAGCTGGCCATACACTACTTTGTCTTTTGTAGATGTACCAAGGTAATCTTTTTTGGAAGTAAACAAACCCACGCTCTCTAAGGCTCAGCAAAACATACCAGACCTATTCACAGCAGTCTTGGCCCCTGCAATGATTTCTGCAAGGACAGGACCGTGGGGTTACACCCACTTGGATGACTGCAGAGAAGAGCAGAAAGCGCAGTCCTGCCTCCGGCAACTCCTCGGTTGCGTACCGAGCTGCGAGCAAGTGCTGAGCCCCGCAAGGGTCGCTGCCTTCGACTCCCCGTCGCCGCAGAAAGCCACAAGGAGGGAACTGCCACTCCTTGGTGCAAATCTAACTTCGCCGTTCCCACAGAGGACAGCAAAGAACCCGGGCGGAAAACTGGGCATGAGGAAGCTTTACTCTGTACACAGTTTTCTTTTTCATTGCTACACCCAGAAGAAATACTGTCCTCTTTCTGTTGGGCACTAAAGGGGCTGTCACGGGAGGTGCTGCTAGGGGCTATACCTGAACTCTTTATTCCCAGATGTTCTCATGCTATTCCTGAGACTCACTCTCCTCTTGCAAACACAGGCCTCAAGCATCTCACCTTCAACCTTGAGAGTTGTGGTGAGTGACAGCCAAGGAATCTTTCTCGCTGTCTCACACACTGGACAGAATACCCCAGGCAGAGCACTACAATGAGGAATTTCCATGGTTTTCTTTCCTTTCCTTTTTTTATCGCTGAAAGACCCAGCTCCTTCTGACTTCCCCCATGGAATCCATATGGACATAAAATCCTCCTCTAATTCTGTCCTTTAAAATATAAAATCTTGATGGAGCAACGGATCCGGTGATAACTCAGCGTTTTGGCTACACAGCACACATGTGCAGCTCATTGCTACCAGCCTGCTGCCCTCCTAAATTAGCTTACAGAACATCACAAATTCAGTAAAGGCACCACCAGCATATTCTCAATAAAAGAACCACTTGATCCTTTTTTTTTAAAATATGGGCTTAAAAAATCTCAGACAAAATAACAAACCAAATTAATTGAAATGACAAAATATTCTTTGCAAAATTAAGGGTTTTTTACTTCATATACAAAAGCTGGATTGATTTTTTTAAAATAAATTAGATAAACGGACAGAATAAAGTTAACTGGCTACATCTGCTTCCTGAGTAAATATTCATTATGCCACTTCACTTAGGCATATATACCTGATCCAGATAAGACAAAGGATTTATAACCACGCTTTATCAAAGCTAGTCCACTGAACAGATTTAATTTACAAGTGTGACTTCAGATGCTGAATTTGAGAAGACTTGAGGTTAAACTCTAGGGGCCCATGGGGTCACATCAGGTCCTTTAAACCTAACTCTGCTGAACCCTGGCGCTCAGGTTTCATGAAGATGAAGAACAGCTTTTTCCAGCACCGTGTTATGAGCATTCACACGGATTCAGCAGCATTCACACCAGCAAGAAGTCTGTTAGCCTCCTGACGCAGTGGTTACAGAAATCAGAATTCAGCATTTGTTACAATTCACTACATCAAAATGCATTAAAGCTGCCCATATGGAACTAGATGCAGGATGAGAAACTAGGACAAGAAATTTCCAGTCTACACGATGCTAGTAGCATGCTGCTTTCTGCACTTGCTAAATGCGCTTCTCCTGTCAACAGCACTCCTCTGAAACACGGGGCTCTAAATTTGGTGACAGAATGCAACTTCGTAGTACTGAGACTGTGATAATTAAGAAAAGAGTGAAGGAAAGTGTAATTTAGCTGGATTCAATGTTAACTCTGTGTTATGCTTTATTATGAGAAACAATTTGTGTCTATAATAGGATACAACTGAGAGGGAAAAAAAAAAATCTGCTTTTTTAGGAAGCTTCTTGATAGTGAAGTCTGTCAGACTCTAAAACAGTCTTATAAGAAATGTCATTGGTACCATAAAAGTAAAGGTCTATACCCCAGGCTGCCCATCAGCAGAGCCTACCGAGCACAGATTGAAGTGTTGGAATATTTTCCTACATTCTCCTTTCAAAGGCCCCACCCTTAGGTCTGATACCCAGGCAGGTATCACAACGGCAGCAGCTAACAAACCAAATGGGATACCTGGAGAGAGAGTTAGGTAAGGAAAGAGCCGCCTCTGTCCTCCCCAGACTTTTATCTCAAGATGAGATTCAGCAACAGTAAAACTCCTGAAGCTCTTCGCACACTGCTCAACCAC